AGAGAGAGAGAGAGAGAGAGAGAGAGAGAGAGAGAGAGAGAGAGAGAGAGAGAGAGAGAGAGAGAGAGAAACGTGGGCGACTTTACTCACACAAACACCCCACAATCCTAGAAGACTGTCAGTCCAAGCCCCTAATCCAAAAATGGCAGCAAGTCTGAGAAAAAACTAGCTTCTTCACCCGAACAGAACGCCCGGTCATTAATTATACCCGTATTCTTCGGTCTACTTTTCCGTCCCGATACAGCTATAATGACCGGGCGTTTTGTCCAGGTGAAGAAGGTAAGTAAGTCTCCCCCAGCCATAAAACCCAGTGTGTGTGTGTGTGTGTCGTCATGTTCACTAACACAACTTCACAAAAAAAAAAAGCACCGACGTACTGAGTCTTCTCCATCAGTCAGATGCATCCTGGGCAGACCGTCTGTCCAGGTTCAGCCTGTTCATGAGTCGGCGGAAGTTCACAAAAAAAAGCACGACTGTTCCAGACCATAATGTTGAACTTCCACCGACTCATCAACAGGCTGAACCTGGACATACGGTCTGCCCAGGATGCATCTGACTGATGGAGAAGGCTCAGTACGTCGCCCAGACTTAATAAGACCCCTGAGAAAAGTGGTACCCTTCACTCACACCGACCCCGCAACCCTACCTTCTTCCCCCGACCGAATACAACGTACGGTCATTATAGCGCTGTGTATTTGAGGCATCTTTCAGTCTAGATACAGCAGTAATGCTGACAAATTAGTTTGTCACTGCTATGAAACCCCACTCTACACACCCACGCAGTCACTGACATCCGCTGGCATGACCCCCAGTACGGTCCCGATCCCAGGCACATCGATCTGCCTGAACGAAGAGCTAGCAAGGCCCGTGTCGTGTCCTGTCATGTGTGTTTGTTGTGCTAATAATCACCAGACATGATCCGCCAATCCGTCCATATCTGTTTAAGCCTTAAGGTTTAAAAAAATGTGTGTAAGGCTGGCCATGTACGTGGTTAAAACCACCAGTTCGAACCCCGGTCCACCGAAAATTGCAGCAGTACAGAAGCAGGTGGAGAACGGTTCGCGCTTGACAGACTAAATAGGGTTTACCGAGGGGTGCATAAATTGATACATTTAATAGAGTACCCTACTAGCCCACCAACTTCGACTATTTTTTTGTCCCATCGGGAACAAAATATCCACTACGATCGTCAAGTATGTCCAGGAGGCTACAGTGTATCAGGGCAAAATACTAAAATACTAGAAAATTAGGGAGAATTTTAGCTGCGCAGGCCACAAAGAAAGAACTCGGCACAAAGCGAATGGATATGGCGATCGATCAGAGTCCCCGTGACCCACAGTATACCCGAAAAACTTTCTGCCTGCGCAGGCCTACAGTCTTCCGCTGAATACAATGTACCGTCATTATCTTTCAGTCTAAATACTACATAGTAAATACAGCAATAATGGCCGTACATCGTCTTCGGGGGAAGAAGGTAGCAAGCAAAAAATTTCGGTCGACAAACAGGATCTGCCGAACTGGTGATTTCAGAGGTCAGTGCCAGGATCGTTTTTTTTCTTTTTTTTATAAACCAAAAATCCAACAACCTTGAGATATATATCCACAGGTGGACAGGCCCACGTGTGTTAATTGGCACATTTGAAATTTGAAATTTCACTGATTCATTCAGTCTACCCCCCCCCAAAGAGTCTGCAATCTGTGGCTGACTGGCCTACTCTCAAGACTCAAGTTTCAACCTGAACTGAATTGAGCCACACCTGGGTTTCTGGCCCCACAAGAGCCCTCAACGGGGCTTGAACCCCTGGGGTCCATCAATGGCCTAATATGTCCTCTCTCTCTCTCTCTCTCTCTCTCTCTCTCTCTCTCTCTCTCTCTCTCTCTCTCTCTCTCTCTCTCACACACACACACACACACACACACA